AACGACTAATACTGTTTGAATAACAGTGTGCTTTTATGTACTTCCTGTGCAAAATTAAAACTAGGAGTGAATCTTATTACCACTTTTTTTTTTAAGCACCAGGGATTGAATTTAGGGCCTTCACACTGAGCTATGTCCCTAGGCCCTCTTTAAATTTCTTTTGTTTTTTGAGACAGGGTTTTGATAATTCATGAAGTTTCCTAGGCTACACTCAAACTTGTGATCCTCCTGCCTTAGTTACCCAGAGTGCTGGTATTACAGGTGTACGCCACTACGCTTGACTTTTGTTTGTTTGTTTGTTTGTTTGTTTCTTGAGACAGGGTCTCACTATGTAGCTGAGTCTGACCTGGAACTCACTATGTAGCCCACGCTGGTCTTGAACTCACAGCGATCCTCCTGCCTCAGCCTCCCGAGTGCTGGGATTACAGGCATGCACCACCACGCCCAACTTACACTTGACTTTTGTTTTGTTTTAGGAGACAGAGTCTCACTATGTTGTCCAGATTGGTCTCAAGTGATGCTCCTGCCTCAGACCCCAGTAGCCAGGACTACAGGCACACACACTACACTCTGTTTATTGGGTGTATCTTTTAAGTCCAAACTAATTCTTTGATGAAAACACAAAGGACATTTTCACATTCCAAAATTCATTTATGTGTGTGATGGAGAAGCTGCCACCCAACCGTGGACTAGAAGTAAGTGATTTGCCATGTGATGATCTGCTGGGGTCAGAACGGGTTCAGCCGTGCTCAGATGCCTTCCAGGTGACAAGGTCCTCTAGCTCTCACCCAAATCAGCCCTGACAAGTCAAATGTTTATAACTGATTTTGATAGCAGCAAATACTAACCTTAAACCTCAATTAGGCTAAATGTTTTGATTTTGTGAGACAAGGTCTCAAAATGTAGTTCAGCCTGGACTTGAACTCACTGTGCAGCCCAGGCTGGCCTCAAACTCATGGCGATCCTCCTGCCTCAGCCTCAGCATGCACCACGCTGGCTAGGTTAAATGTTATTCCTCAAATTATTTCATTCTCATGAACAGACCTACTGAGTGTTGTAAAATTTGTACTCAATTCGTGTTTGTGTGTGGTATTAGGGATAGAATGCAGGGCACTCTATTACTGAGCTACACTTCTAGCCTGCTTTTTTTTTTTTTTTTTTTGTACCAGGGATCGAACTTGGGCCCTTGTGCTTGTGAGGCAGGCGGCAGAACCGCTGAACCACTGAGCCAAATCCCTGGCTCTCTAGCCTGTTTTTTATTAGTCTTACTATTTTCAGGCTGACTGACCTATATTTTACGATCCTCCTGCCTCAGCATCCAATTATTTCCTATGAGGGGGATTTAAAAACGTTTTTTCTGTTGACTTTTGTAAGTTGATTCTTTTGTTTTGTTGTGTTCTGTTGTATTGTGTTTTGGAGACAGAAACTCACTGTGTAGGTCAGGCTGCCCTTGAGCTCTTTGAGCCCAATATGTAGCTCTGAACTTGCTGCCATCCTAGGCTGTAAATTGATTCTTGTACCCGGCAGAATTCTCTTGCTACTTAGGGTGGGCTCAATTGCATATAACAGAAAACCTAGTCATGATCGAGGTCAGAGACCGGTGCTTTGTATAGTCAGCTCAGCAAACAGAAGCTATTGCAAGTGTTTTGGTTTTGGTGCTGGGGGTAGAACCAGGGCCTCATGCAGGCTCAGCACGCCCTACCACTGAACTGAGCCCCAGCCCCTTCGCAGATAAGAGGCCGAGACAGATCACACTGGGACCTGGTGATCGTATGTTATTGCAGCAGCCAAGGGGAAGCAACGACTTTCGACTTCAATGTTGCCCCACCCAGATCTACATACAGGAAGGGCAACTATGCTTGAACAATGCTCCTACTTTACCCCCGGGTTTCCAGCCGGTGCGGGTATGCAGTTCTGTTGTGGTTAGCCTGGCCCACCGAGGTGAACTGTGGTGCTGGGCCAGTCACGGAGCCCGTTCCGTTCAGCTCCGTCACCCTTCACCTGCTCATTTCCGAGCCACGGTGATGTCCACATCACACTGCCTTGAGACGGGAGCGTATCTGAAGAAATGGGCCTCCCCCACCACGGCCTGCGCTCAGGGGAGCTGTGAGTGGCTGTGTGGCCAGCGCACAGCCCCTGTGGCCTGTGGAGCCCACCATGACTCAGCCAGAAGACCACACCCTTACTTTGCTCGGTGACTCCGGTCGCTCTGCTCCCTCAATTTTAATGCCTGGGAAATGGGAGCATGAAATCTCATGGAGCCTGGGCCTACGGCTCTCTCCAGGTCCACAAAGATGAGGACCAAGGCACCCTCCTCCCCTGGGCAGCCCGGGCCTGGCCCCACGCCAGCCCCTGTCCACAGCTCCTCCTAAAGGTCTCCACCCACACATTCCTGCCGCATAAGCAGCTGCCTCATACCCTGGCTGCGGGGGCCAGTCCTCCTTAGTTGCTCCTGTGTCTCTGCAACCCCACTTCCCAGGTGTGGGAACAAACTGAGTAGGCGCAAGTTCTTCTGTCACCCGGGTAGGGCTGGGCCAGACCCTGGGAAGGGGCCATTTAGACTGGGGCTGCGATGAGCAGCCAGACACCTCCTCAGGCGGCCCGAGCCAGACACTCCTCGTGCCTGGCAGGCTTGCTCCCACTTTCTCAGCTTCCTTTAAAGAGATCATCTGGCACTTGCCAAGAACTCAGTGACCCACGCCCTGTTCCCGCACGTACCACCCACTCTGCCTGACTCTTCCTGCTTCCCATGACCTGCCCTCCTGCCCGGGATCTGTGGCTCAGGAAAGCCCCTACCCCTGTCGTCTCGGTGGTGCTGAATGTGCTCCTTCTGTTGGGAGAACCAGAGGCTGCCCCAAGTCAGCTTTGCAGGGTGACAGGGCTGAGGGAGTCAAGGGCTCCTCGAGTGAAAGTCAGATAAGAGCACAGGGCCTTTGCCCACGAGAGGAGCCCCTGGTCACAGTGAACACCCACAGTGAACACAGTGGGTAGAGGAGCGTCCCACGGATGGCTCACTGTGAGCCCTATGTCCGTCGGGGTGGGTGGGCTGGCTCTTCGGGGACAGAACCTGATACAGCTGGGGGATGGGGAGGGCCCACATTTTCTGAGACTAAAGCTCTGCGTACAAGCCCATGAGGGGGTAACTATGGCCTGGTTAATGTGGGGTGGGGGACAGGGTCCGGGTCACACATACATCCGTGTATGTACGCATGCGTGGGAATGGGTGTGCTGGAGAGGTGTGGGAGATGCCTACCCCGGCGCGGCAGCACTGCCTGGCACCTCAACCCAGCCGCCCTAAGTGCGAGCAGGGATAGGGTCCAGACCGGTACTGGAACCTGCCAGGGGAGGGCCCAGCAGGTCCCCGCCTAGCCTGGGGCCCCCTTCTTGTTCACTGCTGCACGAGGAGGAGCAGGAAGGGAGGACCTTCCTCCCCTGGTGTCTTCAGGACTCATTTCTGCTCCCAGCCCCTGTGTGGCCCTGGTCAGCCGCACAGCATCTCTCTGCTGAGGCGAGGAGCAGATGGCTCTGTGTAGAAGTCCTGACTATAGACTACATTCTTCTGACCTGTTCTCACCGAGGCGAGGCCCGACCTCAACAAGGAATGTGGTCTGGCTTCATTTTCTACCACTTGAAGGCCGACCTCGGCTCTGGCTGGGCTGGGTAGAGAGTGGGGGTTGGGGGAGTGGGGGGCATAGAGTAGACTTGGGCAGTGTCCTGCAGTCTCCCACCTACCCTGCTGGGAGCTGGCCACCATCCCACAGACAGGGCCACTTCGCTTCGAGGGGCCTGTGCTCTGAGCAAGGCCCAGACCCACCCGGGGAATGGTTACCATGACAGGATGCAGCATACAGTAGGTGCTCAGTAAGTGCATGGATGGTTAACGAGCAGCGGGAGCTGGATGGACACTGTTCCTAGGGGACACGAGATAAGGGATGAGCCTCTCGGTGCCTGTCTTGGGCTGCCCCACCAGGACTATGGAACTGGTGCTTTCAGAAATAGTGCTGGACAGGACACTTGGGATGCCACCCCATTTCACAGGTAAGCTCCGGTACTCTGGACTGAGCCAAGACAGACTTCACCTGGACCCTACCTGTGCTCTGGACCCCATCTGTAGTGGGCTTGGGCAGGGAGGGAGCTGCAGCCTTCCTGGGTGTGGATGTTAGGGGTCCTTGGGTCACATGGGGGCAGAGATCATGTCCTGCTTCCAAGGTAGACCTGGGGGGGTCTTGCCCTTCCATACCCACCTCACCTCCTGTTCTCTGGCTGGGGACCTGGCTTTTTGCCATTAGTTAAGGGTGTGGCAGCCACAGGGGGCCTCCCTGTCTTCTGGGGTGGGGGCTGAGAGGACATCACTTGGAGGCCTGGTGGCTCCCAGATACCACACCAGCAGGCTGCCCCAGGCAGCTCAGCCCAGTGGACAGGTGGCTGAATCTTAGGTATAGGAGGGACTCTCCACTCTGAGCCATGGTGGGGTACACCTGGGCCGGGTTTGCAGGGGTAGGGCAAAGGCCTCCCGGAGGATGATCTGGTCCTGTAGGCCCTACACTGACCCCAGGAGGACAGTACTTCCCCAGGGAGGGGCGCCCACCCACACTGGCCTGGGTCTCCAAGCTCCACTCTGGGAACCCGCCAGGTTGCCCACGGGCCCACCCATGTTTCCTGAAGGTAGGGTCAGAGCAGCCCGATGGAGTTGGTGGAAGGCATTGCCCTTCACACTCTCCAGGTTTCCCAAAGCCCAGGTACCCGCAATGGAGGGCACCACGAAGAGAGGGGGGTGCACAAAACAACCCTAGCCCGGACTGCTCAATCCCCCTTCTCAAATGGGGAAACCAGGGTCGATTTGGGTGGGAAAGCAGCCCTACCTCCTGGCAGTAACCCTGCCCTGCCCTGCTCTGCCCTGGGAGGAGAGGAGATGGTGGGTGCCTGCCTCAGGCCTCATGGCTAGGGGCTGGGCTGGCTCAGACCCAGATCCACCCGGCCGAGGGCGTCTTCCTGAGGGGAGGAGCTGGGCAGTCTGCAAAGCAGGGCAAACAGCCAGATGCTGCTTCTGGTGCCCACGGAGAAGGTTTGACTAGAGCTCCTTGGTCCCAGAGGCCACTCACTGTGTGGGGACAGTGCTGGGTATGAAGGCAGGGAGACCTTGGGGGCATCAGAGTCATTGTTCTCCACAGACCATGGCCTTGTCAACAGCTCGACTCCCCCCAAGGTCCTGCCGGTCCTTCACCCACAGCGGCCTTCTGCTGCTCCTCAGCTTGGGTGAGTCTGCTGCCTGGTGTTGGACCAGGGGGATGCAACCCAAGGCCCTTAGCGGGTTAGGATCTGGGGAGAGGCTTTCCGCCAGCGAGGCCTTCACTTTTGCTGAGGGCAGGAAGGATTGGGGGCTGCACTCAGACCCTGTTCCCAGTCATGTGGGCCAGGATGGCGTGGGTTCCAAACCTTGCAGGGTCTACACAAGGCTGAGCAGGGAGAGGCGTACCTTCACCCCCTCCCTCCTCAAGGTCTGGCACAACCCAGAAACCTTGGCCCTCCCCTCCAGTCTATGTCCTTTACTGTGCAGGGTGGGTGCAGCTTCTGAGGACCCAGACAGTCATGACACAGCAGGTGAGGTCCTCTGGCGAATGGGAGGGCCCTCTGGTCTTGGTGGAGGTCTCAGCTTTGCCTGGGGTGGGGAACATGAAGGAATCTACTGGATTTCAGAGGTGCCTATTTGCAAGGGCATGTCTGAGCCGGAGGGACTAGATTAGGGAGTGGTCGAGCCATGGGCCCAAGACATGGTCCCAGCAGGCAGCCCGGCTCAGGGAACAGCTGGGCCTGAGAAACTCCTGCTTGGGGAGTTCTCATCCAGGTCCTGTTCCCCAGACGGCTGTCCTCCTCAACCCAGTCTTGGCCAACAAGGGTGACCTTGCCAGGTAAGTGCAGGACCCCAAATCCCTCAAGGACTCTGGGGGCCTTGAGTCATGGCCAAGTCTCAGTGCTCAAGTTCCCGAGCCCATGTCCCCCCTTGTCCTCCCTGCCTGGCTGAGATGGGCGCTGGGGAAGTGATTACCCCTCCACGGTGTGCCCAGGGTCCACTGGGGGGTGACATGGTGGCAGGGCAGCCCTGTGCATGCCCCTCTCCCGCCCGCAGCCTTGACTCCAGCTTCCTCCGTGACTTCACTTGTACGGAGGTGTCTGGCATGAGCATTGAGCGCGCTCAGGAGCTGGCCATGGCCGTAAAGCAGGAGAATGTCACGCTCCGTGTGGATCAGGTTAGTCCTTAGGTGGGGCAGGGGAGGCTGAGGAGTTAGTGGGCTGCCACACCACTGCCCACCCAGGGTCTCTCCCGGGCTGTGGCTACACCCGGAGCTCCTCCGCCACCTGAACTGACCATGAATGTACCCGTTCCCATTTGGGTCTAGTTCTCTGGGGGCAAACCTGAGATGACCTAGCTGTCCCCTCCTGGAGCACCAGGGGCAGCTCTGGCAGGCCTGTCCACCACACGTGGCCTACAGTGGGCGTAGGAGGCATGATATGGGGTGGGTGAGTCTCGGGCGGGGAGAAGGCTGTCGGCCAGTACCTATTGCCTGGGCCCCAGCAGGGCAGCTCTCAGAGTAACAGCTCCTTATGAGCAGGCCTAGGGGACTGCAAGAGCAGTATGGGTGGCACCAACCAGGGGCCTCTGGCCCATCTTTTGGGTAGTGGCCCGGAATTTTCTGAGCTGTATTTCTGGTCTCCTGGCAGCTGCACTGTCTGGCACTTCGCCTCTCCAAGCACCTTGTCCCCAAGAACCTGGACATCTTTCCTCTGGATATGTTGCCCTTCTTCAAGTAGGGACACGCTCCAGGCTGGAGCACCCTCCCCTCAACCTCAAAGCGTAGGGCCTTGGTGGCTCAGCTGGGGCAGCCCTCAGGTAGGGTGTGCGCTAGTCTGCACGGCCGGCCCCAGCGCCCACCCTGCCTCTCAGCCCAGACTTGTTCACGGGGTCCCAGGCTTGTACCCAGTTCTTCTCTGGCATCGCCAAGGCTAATGTGGATGTGCTCCCGAGGGGGGGTCCCGAGCGGCGGCACCTGCTGCTTGCAGCTCTGACCTGCCAGGTACTGGATGGGAGTCGCGGGGCAAGGCAGCCAGGAAGGGGCTTGGCGGTTCCCCAGAGGTGCTAAGGCCCACTGCCTACACAGGGTGTGCAGGGGTCTCAGGTGAGTGAGGACAACGTGCAGGCCCTGGGAGGTCTAGCTTGCAACCTGCCTGGGCGCATTGTCGTCAACTCTGCTTCAGTCGTCCTTCCCCGCCTGGCAGCCTGCCTGGGGCCCCTGGACCAGGACCAGCAGGAGGCGGCCAAGGCAGCTCTGCAGGGTGGAGGGCCCCCCTATGGGTGAGGAGGGGTGTCTGGGTCTTTGAAGGTTGCTTGGATTGGTGGTTCCTGGGCAGCTGTGACTGAGGATGTCCTCGTCTGCACCGGGCAGCCCAGGGTCTCCTGTCGCCTGCTGTACCTATCTGTACCCACTTTGGCTCCCCCCACCCCCCGCTCTCTCTGTCTGGGGCTGGAGTGGCAGGGTCCTTGAGCCAAGCTCCTGTGTCTGGACAGCCCCCCATCGAGGTGGTCGGTCTCCACACTGGACTCCCTGCAGAGCCTGCTGGCTGTGCTAGACCAGTCCACCATCCATACCATCCCCAAGGTGAGGTTTGGCCCCTGTGTGCCTATGCGACAGATCCACTTGGCCCGTGCTGAGCCACCCTGTCCTGTCCTGTCCTCAGGGGGTCACAGATGCCTGGCTGCGTCGTAGCTCCCAGGATCCATCTGGACGATGGCCTGAGCTGACCACCATCCTCCTGAGGCTCAAGCGGAGCACAGAGGGTGAGCCCCACACCACGCTGGGCCAGGCTGGGGTCTGGCATTGTAGGGTCTCACCTGCCCCTACCTGCAACCCTTTCTGGCTCCTCAGCTGGTTCAATCATAACCTCACAGAGTGTGGAGAATTGCCTCATTTTGCGAGTGGGTAAACGGAGGCTCAAGGTCTTGTGGCATTTATGGGAGGAAGGAGAGGTGGAAAGAAGCAGGCTGGCCTTTGACCCTTGCCTTTCCTGCAGAGAAAGCCTGTCCTCCAGGGCGGAAGCCCCAGGTGGTAGATGAAGACCTCTTCTTCTATGAGGACTGGGAACTGGAGGCCTGTGTGGACGGTGTTCTGCTGGCCGCACAAATGGATCGGGTGAATGCCATTCCCTTTACCTACCAGCAGCTCAGCATCTTGAAGCGAAAGCTGGATGAGGTAACTCCTGCTGTGGGCTGCCTGCCTGCCAGGCCCAGGACTTCCCCTGCCCCCAGGGAGGAGCTCTGATCCAAAAGCTCACTTCTCCCACAGACCTACCCACAAGGCTACCCTGAGTCCCTGATCCTGAGACTGGGCTACTTCTTCCACCTCATGAGCCCTGAGGATATTCAGAAGTGGAATGTGACCTCCTTGGACACCTTGAAAGCTCTGCTCAAAGTCAGCAAAAGGCCAAATATGGACACTAAGGTGACCGCCTTCCCCGGGGAGCGTCTGGCATGAGGATGAGCAGCCGGGGCTGGCGGGACTGCATTGCTTTCTGCCCCACGGCAGCTGAATGGCTTCCTGCCACAGCTGGTCGCCCTGATTGCCCACTACCTGATGGGGAGTGGCCAGCTGGACAAAGACACTCTGGATGCCCTGACTGGCTTTTATCCCACCTACCTGTGCGCCCTCAGCCCCAAGCAACTGGGCTCCGTGCCTGCCAGTGTCCTGTGGTGAGTGATGGGGGCTCTATCAGGCAGGGTGGGTGTATCCTGCCCCCTACTTACTTCCTCCTTTATTCTGCTTCCAGGGCGGCCAGGCCTCAGGACCTGGAGTCATGCAGCTCAAAACAGCTGGGCGTCCTCTTTCCCAAGGCTCACTTGGCATTCCAGAATGTGAGCGGGCCAGAGTACTTTGGGAAGATCTGGGCCTTCCTCGGTGAGCCAGGGTACACGAGGCCAAGTGGGGACAGGAAGGGGTGCCAAGATATCCTTCATAGGCCAGGGACACAGGGCAGCCTGTCCCCTGCCCCTTAAAACATGTTGGAAGCTGTGAATTCTAGCCCCGCTAGGGGACTGACCCTCTCCTGCCGAGGGGTCAGGCAGTGGCCACGCAAAGCCAGACTGGGAATTCTTTAAGAGGAAGGGAATTGCTATAAAGAAGATGAGTCTCAGCCAGGCCCAGTGGCACATGCCTGTGATCCCAGCACTCTGGGAGGCTGAGGCAGGAGGAGGATTGAAAGTTCAAGCCCAGTCTGGGCAATTTAGTGACTCAGAAGAACCATCTCAAAATAAAACGAAAGCACTGGGGCTGTAGCTCTGTGGTAGAACACTCTTGGGTTCAATCTCCAGTACAACACACACACACACACACACACACACACACACACACACACACACGAACGAAGGTGGGCTTCCTGTAACTGTTACTAGAGGATAGGTCTAGGGCATGTTGTGAGGTCTGGAGCTTGGGGTCCTTTCCTCTTGGCCAGGTGGGGCCTCCACAGAGGACCTGCAGGCCCTCAGCCACCAGAATGTAAGTCTGGACATGGCCACATTTAAGAAGCTACCAGTCAAGGCTGTGGAGGTAAGAGGGGCAAAGCCTCAAGGAGGTGGGGTCTTGTAGCAGGTGGGGTCTCCAGAGGGGTGACCTTCGAACCAGGGCCCGCTGGCCAAGCTCCTAAGTCTGAAGGGGCCCAGGCAAGCATCAGTGTGCCCAGGAGGCACGGCTGCTCTGCACACAGTGGAGCCCCAGGATCCTGGGCAGCCTGGAGGGCCTGATGATTGCCTGGCGCCCTGACAGCGGCTGACCGTGGCTGAGGTGCAACACCTTCTGGGACCGCACGTGGCAGGCCTGAAGGCAGAGGAGAGGAACAGCCCGGTGAAGGAATGGATCTTCCAGCAGCGGCAGGAGGACCTGGATATACTGGGGTTGGGGCTCCGCGGTGGTATCCCCAACGGCTACTTGGTCCTGGAACTCAACTCCCGAGGTGGGCTAGGGAAGCCTGGGGGAAGAGTTGGTGCACAGGGAGTAAGGAGGGTCTGAGGTACCTCTTCTCTGCGCAGAATCCTTCTCTGGAGGGACCTCCTTCCTTGCATCTGGACTTGTGCTGGCACTGACCCCTGCTCTGCTAGTGGCTGGTACTCTGAGCTGAGGCTCCTACTCCCAACGCCTTGGCCGCTGCCCACCGTGGTGCTCCACCAGGTGGGTACAGGACCAGGGGGTCACTGTCTGGCCCAAGGGCATTTGAGCTCAATAAACAGTGGCCCATCCCTCTGCAGACAAGACCTGTGCTGTTACCAGGACCGAGTGGGGATGATTTTGGAGTTTCTTATGACCTGTGGGCAAGACTTCCTGAGTTCAGCCCTCTCACCGTTGGGAAGCTGGGCACGGGGGTGGGGCTTCAAGCCGGCGAGGGCTATCTGAGGCCTTCCTGATGAGATTGCTATTGTCCCCAAGGTGTAGTAGTCCTGTTCCCAGCTTCCAGTGGAAGGGTGTCTGGAGGAGAGTTTGTGCTCCTTTTAGGGCCCCAGGAAGGACACAGGCAGCAGATAATTTCATACTTTATTTAGATCTACCCTCAAGGGCAGTGAGAGGGAAGCTCTACCTCGTCCCAGTTATCCTGGAGACTGTCCCCACTGCCAGCCTGGGCCTGTGGCTAGGCAGGTCCCACAGATGTAGGTTCTGGAGCTGAGGTGCATGGGACCAGCCCTGTAGACCTCGGATGGGGACGACACAGGTCTCCCAAACCTAGGGCTGCACCTTTGCTGGGCAGACATCCAGCTTCCTCCAGCAGCTCCATTTGTCTTGTATGTGATGCCCATGGGCCTGGTCACCAAGGGTCAGCGCTGTCCGCAGTGGCCGGGGTCCTGGTGCTGCATGGTTATCCCCCATTGGGCCTGGAGGTACCCAAACACTAGCAGCCACAGGAGGCTGGCGGGCAGGGCCACTGAGAGGAGCAAGTATGCCAGGTGGGCCGGTGGGCTGCCTACAGGGAATGAGAGGGGCCCTCAGTCCTGGCCAGAGCCCCTCCTCTGGGCGAGGGAGGACCAGTGAGGAGCTTCATATATGGAAGCTTTTCTATGTGCAGCAGTGATTAAAGAACTTCCCCCAGCCCACTTCCTACTGCTTGGGTTTGAGGGGGCACTTGCGTCCCTAAATGGTTCAGCAGGTAATGAAAGGTGACACCGACATCACCTGGAGGTCACTCAGAAGGCTGATGGTAGAGCAGGTGCAAGATGAGAACTGGGAACGGCCAGGGGTGTGCAGTGGGCAGCGAGGGGCAGGGGCTGTACCTGAGGTGGGGGCTGCATTGATGTTCCCTGGCTGGCTGGGGAAGGCGGCCAGATTGGACGCTGGGCGGGTAGTGCTGGGGAGTCTTCTGGTCGTTTGGGCAGGGGTGGGGCTTGCGAGGTTGGTGTCCAGGCCCAGCTCACCCAGGGCTGACGTGTTGAGGCTACGCAGCCAGGAGCTGACGGTTGGGTGGCTGCGGGCCTTCTGTAGGTCCCCCACATTCTGGCCCAGCAGCGTGGTCACATTGCTGATGCTCAGACTCTGTAAGGGATGCCAGGGGGCTGTGTGGGGGGCCCAGGGGAGAATCCTTTGAGATCAGTTGTCTCCCAGGACCTAGCACTGATGTGGACAGGGGTGAGGGGCAGGGCCAGCCTGGAGGAGTGACAAGGACCCACACTGGTTGCACTGCTCTGACCTGGGACATGCAGGCCTGGCACCCGGGGACCTGCCCTACCTCCCACCACCTGCCAGATGCCCAGGGCCCACCTTCAGCACATGGGGATTGAGGTTGGTGAAAGTGTCAATGTCCATGGAGATGTTGGCCTGGGCCAAGTGCTGCAGCTCCTCCACAGGGGCGCCACCTAGGGGAGGCAGTGGTGAGGAATAGGGGCTGGGTGTGCCTGGGGAGAGATGCTGCGCGCAGGCCTGGGTCTCACCAAGGTACGGGCGCATGAGGTGGTAGTAGGCGGCTGTGGTGCTGGTGTTGCTGAAGGCCTCACGGGCCTTGGCAAAGAGCACATTCTTCCGGCTCTGAGGGCAGGAGGAGAGGTCCGGGGCCCCGGCCAGCCTGGGGGGCGGGGTAGGTGGTGCTGATGAGCAGGTCAGAGCCCTGTGACCTCCACACTGCTGGGAATGTGCTGCTTTCTCCACACCACTGCTTTCCTCTTTCCCTCTATACTGCGTTGAACAGTGTCCACACAAAATGTGTGTCCATCTAGAACCTCAGAATGCAACCTTATTGGGACATAGGGTGTTGGTGAAGGAAATCACATTCAAAGATGAAGTCACATTGGATTGGGCTGGCCCTAAATCCAGTGCCTGGCTTCCTCATAACGGGAATTTTGACTGAGACAGGGAGGAGCCACCACAAGGCAGGTGGGGCCGGTAGGGATACAAATGCAGGCCAGGGAACATCAAGACCTACGGGCAATGCTGGGACTGAGAGCAGGAGGACCCTCCCTGAAGGATGATGGTCTGGCCCTGCGGTCCCCTTGGCTTTGCGTTTTTGGTCTCCAGTTCTAGAAAATAAATTTCTCTCTCTCTTTTTTTTTTTTGGTACTGGGGATTGAACTCGGGACACTTGTGAGGCAGGTGGCAGAACCACTGAGCTAAATCCCCGGCCCTAAATTTCTCATTTTAAGACACTCAGTCTGTAGTACTTTGTTACGCCTCCCATGGCCTGGCCCAGACCAGATTTCCCACTTGAGCCTTATCCCTCTCCCTTTCTTATCATTTTCCCCTTGTGACCCTTGCCAGGTGGATGGCGGGTTGGGTAGCTCACCGGAACTCCGAGGGTTGAATGGTATGGATCTGCCTGGGGCTCATCCAGCAGAGGCGGGAACCCCCAATGGCCACCAGCAGGGCGCCGGTGACCATGCCATTGTGGTCCAGAAACCTCTGTAGGACTGCCTGGGGGTGGGGACAAGGTCAGCAGGCTGAGGTCAACTGGACCAGATTCAGGGGGATGAGGTCAGTGGCACCAGGGTCAGGGGGCTGGGATCAGTGGGACTGGGGTCCATCAGTCTGTGGGCCAGGCTAACCATACCACTCCCTGTCCTCACCTCTGTCTGGTTCTCCAGGGCTACGTCCGAGGCCAGCAGGGCTACCACGGTGTCCCCTGATGTGATGTTCCACTGTCCTATCTCAGCCAGAGAGTAGAGGTAGACCAGCGAGGTGATGAGGTGCAGCTGGTCCTCAGGCACACCGTGGGGGTAGATCTGGGACAGGTGGTGGCATCAGTGGCCGTGCCCACGCCCTGTCAAACCCCCTTACCCTGCCTACTACACACCTGCGTGAGCTTGGCCTTGACAACACGCTGGCACTCAGCGGGTAGAGGGTGCTGCAGCAGGGGATCCAGGTTGGCTCTGAGCACGTGGCTGCCCAGGCAGAACTCCAGCTGAGTGCAGTCATAGCGAAGCAGGAAGAGGTCGTCCTGCAGGGTGGCTGCTGTGATGTTGCCACGAATGCAGGATCTCCCTGCAAGGCATGCTGATGACTGAAGGTTGGCCGAGGCCACCTGTGTTAGGGCCCAGTTTGTGTGCGTGTGTGTGTGTGTGGTACTGGGGGTTGAACCCAGAACCTTTACACTGAGTTACATCCCCAGCCCTTTTTATTTATTTTGAGACAGTGTCTTGCTAAACTGCTAATTACTCAGGTTGGGCTTGAACTTGTGATCTTCCTGCCTCGGCCACCTAGAGTGCTGGGATTACGGGTGTATGCCACTGCGCCTGGTTTTGGGGGCCCATCTTTGACCACCATCTCCATTTCTGAACTTAATCAGACGTTGCTGGCTCTCCAAGTTTGACCTCTAACCAAGAGCTTGGCCTCAACCAGGCCTGGATGGGGAGACGCAGCATCCCAGCCCACTGACCTGTGCTCCGCTTGGGCCTTGAGGACACTGAGCTGGCCCTGGCCTCCAGGAAGCTGGTGACGAAGCGCCGGGCGTCATACTGGCTGAGGTGCCTCACCCGGCAGGCAGCCACCATGCTGCGAAAGAAGTCCAGGCCCACAGCCTGGCAGGAAAGGCTTGGTGGCTTCATATCTTGGAGAAGCCTGGCCCCATAGGTCCCTACATTCAGGCCTCAGAGTGGCCTCAGACATGGGCAGGCTGGTCAAGGGGACAGCTGGATAGATCCCAACCCACATGCCCTACCCCAAACCATCATACCTCCTGCACCTGTTCCCACAGGTGGGGACTGATGTAGGTTGCCAGGAGCCCCAGGGCCTGCAGCCCCTCCAGGTTCCAGGAGTCAGGAGTCCTGGTGCACAGGAAGGGAACCATGTCAGGGTCTGGCAGCACCTGGCCCTACACCAAGCAGGGCAGGAAGAACACCCAGTAGGTTCTCAGATGCACGTAGCCCCCTGCCAGTGTCCACACAGCTCATGAGGCCCTTCCCTGCTGAAGAATGCAGCCCTGTGTCCACAGCCTACAGGGTCAGACAGGCTGAGGGCTGGGGTCCCAAGTCAGAGGTCAGCAGGGCTGTAGACATCAGTGACCTCAAGAACCCAGACCCTGGCTGCCACCCACCTCATCTCAAGGAAGGGAGGCCCCAGCCTCACTCAAAGCCTCACCCACCCGAGCTGGGTCCTCCCACTCGCCAGGAGGGTATTGAGGGCAGCTTGCTGCGAGGCGGTCAGCCTGGAGCAGCGTAACAGGTTCTGCAGCACATGGGGGTCTGCAGTCACAATGCTGGAGGCGTCCATGTCACATATCAGGACCCCAAGGAGCCCCAGCTCTGAGGCAGTGAGATGCAGGTGGGGTCCCCCCTGTGGGGACAGCAGATCAGTGTTAAGCAGGAGGCCTGGCCCCATGGTATGGCTGTCCTGTCCCCACCCGAGGTGCCTACCAGGCAGGCCAAGGCTGTATGCTGCAGGGCGACCCTCTGGTCGGGCAGGTTGGCCAACAGCTCTGTGTCTCCCTGGGCTGCACGGCGGGTGAAGGCCTGGCAGTTGGCTTCCTTCACCTGGCTTAGGCTGCAGGCAGGTGGGAGGACATCAGGAGGACTGAGCCTGAGAAAGGCAGCTCAGCCCGTGCTGGAAGGATATCATCAGTGGCTGAGGAAGCCATGGGGTAGACACTCACTTGTAGAAAAGCAAGAGGTCTGGTGGGTGAAGTGCAAAGTCGTCTTGCAGGCCGAGCCGGGAAGCAAGGTTGGCCAAGCAGCTGAGCTGGGCAAGATGGACAGCAGGTCACACTCTGTCCAGTTTAGCCCCAGCCCCCTCCCTCAGTGGGAGGTGTTGATGTTCACCCCAGTAATTAATGCACATGTGTGAGAAAGTTCTGTATAGCA